CCCTAAATCCCCCAAACCCTAAACCTTAAATCCCCCAAACCGTAAACCCTAAATCCCACAAAAATACCCCAAACCCTAAATCCCCCCCAAAATCCCCCAAACCCTAAATCCCCCAAACCCTAAACCCTAAACCCTCCACTAAACCCTGTTCCCAGCCGTCCAGCAAGTAATTGCGTCCCGTAAAGCCAGGAACGCTTCGACTTGCCGTCCATTCGCCCTCCTCGGTAGCTTCGGGCTCAGGGCTCTTAGGGCTTAGGGCTTTTAGGGCTTAGGGCTTCGGGCTCTTAGGGTTTAGGGCTTAGGGCTCTTAGGGTTTAGGGCTTCGGGCTCTTAGGGTTTAGGGTTTAGGGCTTAGGGCTCTTTGGGCTTAAGGCTCTTAGGGTCTTAGGGCTTAGGGTTTCAGGGTCAAGGCCGGGTGGAAGGTCCGAGCTGGAACTGGGGTCTCCGGGACGAAGGAGACTTCTAACCAGGGTTCCCTTCAAGGACCTTTGGGTTTAGGGCTTACGGGATTTAAGGTTCACTTCAAGGGAGTTTGGCTTAGGGCTTAGGGTTTAGGGTTTAGGGTTACCCCTAAACCCTAAACCCCTAAACCCTAAACCCTAAACCCTAAACCCTAAACCCCTACACCCTAACCGGGTTCCAGGGTTGAGGGTAACAGCCCCAAGAAGGGGCCGCAGCCCAGAGACAGGAAAGCCTGAACAGAAGGCTGGTCGAGGTGCGATGGTTGCGTTCGGCGTGTCAAGAAGGATGGTCTTGCAGATGGTCTTCGCCTTGGCACGGTTTCGGGGTTTAGGGTTTAGGGGGTTTAGGGGTTTGGGGTTTACGGGTTTAGGGTTTGGGGTTTAGGGTTCAGGGAATTCGGGTTTAGGTTCAGTCTTCGGACATAAAGCACCAGGACCCTGAAGAACCTTCCTTTTTTGTCGGGCTCCTTACTATGATTTCATTATTATATACCTCCTTCTAAACCCTAAACCCTAAGCCCTGAATCCTAAACCCTCAACCCTGAATTTAGGGTTTAGGGTTAAGGGCTCAGGGCCACGGTTTAGGGTTTAGGGTTAAGGGCCCTAAACCCTAAACCCAAGGTTCATTGAGGGTCCAGGAATGCTTTGATCTCTAAACCGCCGCCGCAGAAGCCCAAAAGCCTCTACGGCTCTGCATTTTTGGCGCGTTAAAGCCGGGGTTCGAGTTGCAGGACTTCGGGTTTAGGGCTTAGGG